ACTTTTCCAGGTGTGCATTCTCCTTTGTCAAAGGAAATCAAGAGCAATGGCAAATTGCCAGAATTGAACTTGCCTATCCAGTGAGAATATCTTAAAAGGAAGGCCTTTTAAGACTCCCCCACCAAGTGAAGAGGTCATGGGCAATGTAAAAGGCTTCCTCTGTAGAGACCCCACGCTTTGGAACTTCTTAACCCCACCCATATATAAATCTTCCTCCTTCGTGCTTTTGAGATCTTTAAAGGCAATTTTATTTCACCAAGTTTCAACCCTAGCTGTTTTATCGGAGTCCATCTTGGGAAAGACGTGACTTTTTTTAATGGATGATTTATCACTACTTTTGTTCTTATACCTTTTACTTATTTTATTGTTACATTTATAATTTTTAAATAATTTCTGAGTTTGGGTAGGCTATTCAATATGTAAATAAATACATTTCTTAATGAATTTGAGAAAGTTAGGTTGATGTTGTACCAAGGTGCCATTGAACCATATATGACTCTCTAAGATCAAGTCAGAGAAAAATTTCCATGCTATCTGTGAGCCTTTTAATTGGAGTACCAAGATTTGAATCTGAGTCTTCTGCATATAAAACTCCCCTTCCCTAGTGAACAAATGGTCTTTCTAACAGGCAAATTGACATGTAACAAAAATCACTAAAACTAGAAGAACAATAGACCATATTCAAGGGATTGAGTACCATAGTTTGGCTTTCCAATCTTTCAATTAGCAGCTTTTGTTAAGCTTTGTGTTTTGAAGACAGAAATTGAATCTGTGAGGCAAATCATTTCCATTTGTACCTTTAATGTCATATGAAACAACCCCAAATCTATCATCAGCATTAACAACCCAACTTGAATTCATGACATTTTTTCTTTTGCTAGATGATAGCTTTTTTGTAGGAATGGAAGAGGTTTGCCTCATTCTTTCATACATAGCCTTAATTTTATGGCAGCAGTTTAAAAAAAGTGGCACCAAAAACCAACTATTTTAACTCAAGATTTTGGTGGCACAAACATTTGCTTAGGAGACCAAATGACACATTGAGACTGCCTGGATCCATGGCAGGACTGAGAAATAGGATAATTTAAAAAATAGTTAAATTTAAAGCAAAGTCAATCTTATATCTAAAGTTTCAAGATTATCCAAAACTTACATTAAAATGTAGCATTTCCAAAAATACAGGGTGACTTGTATAAGAATCTGAAATTAACAAGCATTGCACAAGCCTTCAATGAAGGCTAAAACAGGGGTGTCAAACTCACATTGTCACGGCAGTGTCACATGATGTATTGGAACTTTTCCCCTTCACTGAATCAGGCGTGGGCATGGCCAGGAGTTTGCTAGCCCTGTTCTAGAAGATCTTTTTATCATCACTTATCATCACCTCTCATCACTCCTTATCACCCATCCCCTCCCACTTGTGACTGTATGACTGTAACTTTGTCGCTTGTATCCTTATGATTTATATTGACTGTTTCCCAGTATGATGATTGCTTATTGTACCCTATGACTATCATTAAGTGTTGTACCTTATGATTCTTGACTTTTGACGAATGTATCTTTTCTTTTACGTATACTGAGAGCATTTGCACTAAGACAAATTCCTTGTGTGTCCAATCATATTTGGCCAATAAAGAATTCTATTCTATTCTATTCTATTCTATTCTATTCTATTCTATTCTATTCTATT